GAAGATCAGCCCTGAGCTAACATCCGTGCTAATCCTCCTCTTTTTTGCTGAGGAAGACCGGCTCTGAGCTAACATCTATTGCCAATCCTCCTCTTTTGTTCCCCCAAAGCCCCAGTAGATAGTTATATGTCACAGTTGCACATCCTTCTAGTTGCTGTATGTGGGACGCGGCCTCAGCATGGCCGGAGAAGCGGTGCGTCGGTGCGTGCCCGTGATCTGAACCTGGGCTGCCAGTAGTGGAGCATGTGCACTTAACCGCTAAGCCATGGGGCCGGCCTAAAAAAATTTTTAAGTATAATTTTCCCATAATAAAATTCTCCAATTTTCAGTGTAGAATTTGGTGAGTTTTGAAAACATATATACAGTTGTCTATCTACCACCATACTAATGATATAGAACTTTTCCTTCATGCCAAAACTCATGTGTCCCTTTGAAGTCAGTCCCCTCCTCCCACCCCTAGCTTGGCAAACAGTGATTTGTTTCCTCTCATTAGTTTTGCTTTTTTAGAATTGTATATAAGTGGAATCTAGAATGTGTGATTTATTGTGTCTGGCTTCTTTCACTTGGCATTTTAAGAAAAGTATTTATACTATTTACAGATTTTCTACAAATATTTATCTAAGTAGAATATTAGAGTGAAATGTTTATCTGACAAGGTTGCCAATTTATTTACTGATTTTGCCAAAGAAAAATGTTCTTTTTGAAGTTTGTTCATTCTTTGAGTGTATGAGTATAGTATCAGAGGCTTAGCTTTGTATTTATAGAGGTGTTCCATCTTGTTATTTGAAAGGAAAAAGATATTGAACTTGAAGCAAACTTCTCACAACCCCGTTTGAAACTTTTTTGAGCTTATGATATTTATAGATTTTATACAGTTTGTGGAAACATTTTATCCTCATCAAGTTTTTGGACTTTTATTTTTGCATCATAAAGAGAGAAAAAGAGAGAATTTTTATTCACTTAGTCTGGTATTCTAGAGAGAGAAGTTCTAGTCTTAGCTCTGCTCCTAAGTTGTATAACCTCTGGGCTTTGTTTGTAACACCTGTTTAATTATTGGGCTCCTTTTTGAACAAAGGATGATTCTGCAAGATAAAACAATGGCATACTTCTGTTATTGCTGTGAGAAGAAAAAGACCAGACTAAGAGCATTGCACTCTGACTTCATTACCACTGAGGTTTAGCCAACTGACCTCATGGATTTATTATTCAATGTATTTAATATTGTAAGATATTTTCATTCAGAGCTTTTTATATTACCTTTAAAACTTGTAAGGATTTTTTTTTTCTATCATTCTTTTTGCAGGCTTAGTGTCTTTTAGGACTCTTGGAAATGGTCAGGAAAAAGAATAGAACTAACTTCGGTGAACAGTGTGTGTTATACTCTTTACTGTGTTTTTTGTACATAAGTCATGTGTCGCTTAACGATGGGGATACGTTCTGAGAAATGTGTCATTAGGCAATTTTGTCATTATGGGAACATCATAGAGTGTACTTACACAATGGTATAGCCTACACACCTCATCTTATGGGACCACTGTTGTATATGTAGTCCGTTGTTGATGGAAACATCGTTATACAGTTCATGGCTTTATTACGTTTAATTCTTGCACCGCCCTGAGAGATATTATCTCCATTTAATAGTCAAGAAAACTGAGGCTGAGGTGACTAATTTGTCCACATCATATTAAGTATTGAAACTTGGATTAGATTTGGGATTTTTTTGTTTTTTTTCGGTGAGGAAGATTGGCCCTGAGCTAACATCCCTTGCAAATCTTCCTCTTTTTACTTGAGGAAGATTGTCCCTGTCGGGGGAAGAGGGAGGATCTCCCTCTGCCCTTTTCCTTAAGGTTCTTATGGCTGGCCAAATACTTAACAAGACAGGTTAGCAGGAGAAAAGAATACCAAGTTTAATAACATGTATACATGGGAGAAAGCAGGGACACTGCATTTCTCAACACAATAGCAGAAATTCTCGTCTTAAATACCATGTTCAG